TGGATGAGTCACGGAGATCAATTGGACAAAATTCCAAATGGTTTTAAAGTGATCGGAAATACACCAACATCTAAATTTGCAGCTATTGGACACGAAGAAAAACATATATTTGGTATTCAATTTCACCCAGAAGTAACTCATACACCACTTGGTAAAAATATTCTTAAAAATTTTGTTGTTAAAATATGTGAATGCAAAAAAAATTGGACAATGGTAAAAGGAAAAAAGATCATGATTGTTACATAGTTAGTATCAAAGTATTGTCAACTATATTAATTTGTAGAATAAAAACTTTATGTATGTATGAATATGTTAGGAATCGTTTATTGATAAAGAGATTAACAGGATTCGTCAATTGGTTGGTGAGAAGGGTCAAGTGGTTGGAGCAGTAAGTGGTGGTGTTGATAGTACAGTAGCTGCTAAATTAATGAAAGAAGCTATTGGTAACAGGTAGCTTGAAATTTTATTAATTGAAAATTAATTAATATTATTAATTTTAATTTTTTATAAACATAAATATTATTATTTTTAGGTTTCATGCAATTTTGGTAGACAATGGAGTAATGAGACTTAATGAATGTGAGACGGTTAAGAAAAAATTTGTAGATCAATTTGGCATAAATTTGAAAGTTGTTGATTCATCAGAATTATTTTTGAGTAAACTCAAAGGTGTGACAGATCCTGAGAAAAAACGTAAAATTATTGGTAATACTTTTATTGAGGTTTTTGAATCAGAAGCTTCAAAAATTGACCAGGAAACAAGTAATGATACAATGGGCAAAATTGAATATTTACTACAGGGTACTTTGTATCCTGATGTTATTGAAAGTATATCTTTTAAAGGTCCTAGTGCAGTTATTAAGACTCATCATGTAAGTTGAAGGAATGAACATTTTATTATTATTATTATTATTATTATTTATTGGTTTCTAAGTTTTTATTTAATAAATTTAGAATGTTGGTGGCTTATTAAAAGATATGAAGCTTAAATTGATAGAACCACTTAGAGAATTATTCAAAGGTTAAAAACACATGGATTATTTTTATTGGGAGGCATTCATTTTATCACCAATTAAATAACTTTTGTTTTATTTATACAGATGAAGTAAGAGAATTGGGTAAATTGTTAACATTAGATGAAGAACTAATTTGGCGGCATCCTTTCCCTGGGCCTGGATTAGCAATACGTATACTGGGAGAGGTTACCCCCTCACAAATAGACATAGTTAGGCTAGCGGATCATATTTACATTGAAGAAATTAAAAAAGCAAATCTATATCGAAAAATTAGTCAAGCTTATGCTTGTTTGTTGCCGGTGAAAGCTGTTGGTGTGATGGGTGATAAAAGAACTTACGAACAAGTTATTGTTCTGAGAGCTGTCGAAACTTCAGATTTTATGACGGCTGATTGGTGAATTATTTTTTCCTTTTAGGTTAAAATTATTTTCACTTAAATATAAATCTAACATTACTATTCAAAAAGGTATCAATTTCCTTATGAAATACTAAAAAGAATCAGTAATAAAATCATCAATGAAGTTAAAGGTACTTTATTATGTTAAATTTATTTAACAAAAAAAAAAAATATTTATATGCATAAATTAAAGCATTTTTATTTATATATTTAGGTGTAAATAGAGTAGTTTATGATATTTCAAGTAAACCACCTGCAACAATAGAATGGTACGTTGATTTGTTCTTTTTGAATTATAAGTAATTTTAATAATTGATCAATTATTGATTGTAAATTTTTTTTTATAGGGAATAAGAGTAACGTGATCACGTGCTCTTGGTGAACCAATCGGATTTACGAGGCGAAAAATAACCCTAACTTTGGCACACCAATTTTTTAATAAAAGAGCATTCTTTGATAATGAATTTTTTAAAATATAACCAAAAAGTTTGTCATTGATGGAGCATGTTGATAGAGTCAGGTTTTACAAATGACCACAATTTTACATCCACTCTCATGCTCTTTTCTTGACCTTTGAATAATTTTGTTTTCAAAATCTTTTATACATATGTTTAATCTAAAGTAAATAGTATCTCATTATTATTATACCAAAATTATAACCGGGTGTAACCATTTTACCAATTCCAATTCACCCGGTGATCCGCAAATTTATATATAGTCGGATATCCATCCACTGTCAGAACAATAATTCAAGTTAAAAATACAAGTATAATTTATTTTTTGTACCAAGAAGAATTATTATTTGTACTAGAGTTTAGAAGAAGCTGATGTATTTGGAGATATCTTTATTTTTCTTCCTTCCCTCTTTAACCCTTACTTTGCAAAAATTTTATAAAATTCCTTGACTAATTTTCTTTTACATATAACTATCAGCAAATATCATTTAGACTTTTGATACCCTTTGGAGGTGATTTATTATCATTGGAATTAGATAATCCATTCAAGAGCTTTATTTTGGATGGAAAGTTTTTGAATTATGCCAGTCTCTCAAAATGTGGATTCTCTTATCATCATTGATCATTCTGTTGATTTGATAACACCACTTTGTATACAATTAACTTGTGAAGGATTGATAGGTGAAGTTTTTGGTATTTGAGTATCACATGTAGAAGTTGATTCTTCTTTGGTGAAATCAAACCACAAAATCCAGCAAAGCCATCTCTCTCAAACACCTGCTCAACCTTAAGCAGAAAAGGAGAAAATTGCACTTAATTCAGGCAATAGGCCTTTTGCCTAATTGAGAGACATGAATTTTGCTGTTGTTGGTAGAGTTCTTAACCAAGTTGCCAAAAGAATTAATGAAGATCATGAAGTATATAATTGTCACATTTAAACATTACTTTTATTTTGAATTAAATATATATATATTCTGTTTTGTTTTTTTTAGGTAAGACATCAAGCAAGGACTGTGGCATAAGTTTGTGAATTTGTTTGTAAATTGGGTGGATTACAATCAGAACATCAATCATTAAAAACTTGTGTCCTTTATTTTTTGAAGGAGTGATATCTTTATCAAAAGAAGTGTATATATAAATTGAATTATTTAGACACTGGAATTGCAAAGAGATAGTAACTTGCACTGTTACACCTGAATTCAATAAAGCTCTTGAAGTTCAACAGAGCACATACCATATATTTTAATTGTTAAGTTATTAGTTGAATTAATTATTTATTATTATTTATTATGAAAAAAATTTTTTTTTAAAAAGATCATTGTGAATATGTTGGAGAAATATTTTTTAGCTTTTTCAGGATTTGGTATTATTGTTGGATCACCTTTTTTCCAATTAACTATAATATTTATATAAAGTATGTGTTTTTTGAATAAATTTACTATTTATGAAAGATAAATAAATAAATAAATAAATACTTGGACAAACTTCTCCAAATTCGTTGACATGTTTAATAGCATCTAATAAACGAAGTGTTTCGTCAACTGATCGACCTGATCAATTCAAAAAAGAAAATTAAAATAATTTTACTCATTTATTTATAATTATGTTCAATCAGAAAGATAAAATTAATATTAATACCAATTGGTGCATCATTAATATGGACGACGCGAATTTTACGCTAAATAAAGTTTAAAAAAAACAAAGTTAGAATTAATTTAAGAATTTGGTAATTTTTTAATTTACCTCATTATCAATAATTATAAGGCCTCTATAAAAAAAATATATTAATTATTAACTCATGCACAAATATAATTTAAGTAAATTATGATGATTGTTATTAGTACTACCTTAATGGTGCCCCCATTGATTCACTCAAGACAGAATATCTTTTTGAAATTGTTTTTTTGTAATCAGCAACTAAGAATAAAATAATATTATTAGTATTATTAATATTGTTATTATTATAATCTTTTTACAAGCATATATATTATAGGCTGGTTGAATTTTCAATTTTAATATTTACCCAATGGAATTCTAGAGAAGATTGATCACGAGAAAGACCTTGAAAATTATTTTTTATTCATTGATGTAAGTAAAAACATAGAGTGAATACAAGCTTACTTGATACCACTGATACCGCCTTGATCACGAGGGACTTTACTATAAATATTTAAAATTTGTGATTATGAATTATTTATAATAATAAATATAGCCGCTCAAAAATTTTATTCCAAATTTTTACCTCCAGGCGAGATGTGAAAACTCTGAATCACATGAAATACCTATTACTTTGGCATTACGTGAATTAAATTTTTCGATATTATCACTATAAATAACAATAGTTAGCGACATATAAATATAAATATGGTGTATAATGTATATAGATGTGTCAGAGAAATAAGTATTACGAAAAAGCAAGTAATTCTGTGGGGCAAACTGTTGATGGGAATAAAAAAAATTAGTATTAATTTCTGGTTTTTAATAAATAATACGCAACCAAATGTAAGGAAATCATCGAAGAAAAATTCCTTTACCGTAAGTAAAATCAAATGGATAAAACACTAAAACAATAAATTTTCCAGCAAAATCTTCAAGCGAAAGTTTTGTGATTTTGCCATCTACAACGGCAGTAGCCTCCCAATCGGATGCAGTTTCCTGCAAAAATTAACTAACTAATTTAGTTGAATATCCAAATAATATAATTTTTGTAAACTAATGAACTTACAGAAACTCTGTCAATTTTTTCAACCGGCATACATTCTCTAAATCTATTATTATTATTATTTTCATTTAGCCTACGAGTGACAACACTAAAGGACCTTTCTGGGTGATAAGCATTTAAGCCAGGAGCACGAGTCAATAATGAAGCGAGTTGACGACGAATCATAAACATTTTATTTAAATTTTTTTTAGAGATGATTATAGATGGGAATCTAATTTATTATTAGACAATGTCTAAAATACACTCACCTACCATAAATATCCGACCACCTGACGATCATTTTAATAATTAGGAAACTTATACCTCACGCAGTTCAAAACTTTATTAATTAAACCGGGACTGGTGCATTAAGTAAACATGTTTTTAAAGTCAATTTTAATATAAACTTAAAGTTTCGTCGAGTTTGCATTATTAATGAATTTAGGATGAAAACTTTAAATTAGGCAAAAAATTTCGCGAACAATTGAAATTCAATTAAAATAATAATGACAGAAAATCAGGAAACAAGAAATTCCGCATGTATGTTCTACAGGATTTAGGCTACAAGCTATGTATACTTATTATGTGTATTTTCGTGTAATTGGTTTTCCAAAATTTGGCTGTACTTGATCTAATAAAATCTATTTGAATCTACTAAAACAAATAAACAAAGGATAATTTATAAAGAAACTTTAAAGTATATAAATATGGTTGATTTGGACTGAGATTGATGTATTAAAAAAAAATTTTGCAATATTAAACTTTATACATTTAATGATATTACTTTGAATAAATTCTTTAAAAACAATGCCGCTTTATTTGAATTTATTCATTTTATTTGTTTTGTTTGGTTTTATTCGTTTTATTGGTTTTATTCACTTTGTTCAGTTTTATTTATTTTGTTTGGTTTTATTTGCTTTGCTTGGTTTTATTTGTTTTATTTGTTTTGTTCGTTTTATCATTTTGTTTGGTTTTATTTGTTCTATTCAGTTTTATTTGTTTTGAGTAAACTTATTTGAATAGAAATCCTCAAAGATTATGATATTATTTTAGTACAAAGAGCTTTAGAAATATTTAACCAATAACTTAATTACAATATAAAAAAGCTATTGGTTTATTAAATTAAGCCAATAATTAACTAAAAAATAGGATTAATTTTAGAATATCTGATAAATATTGGCACTTTCAATATTTACTAATAGGCTTTTAGATTATATGATAAAAATGCTAAGAATATTATTAACTTATAATTATGCCAATAATACCTTGAATATTTTTTTAAAGAATATCAGTCAATATCAAATTCCGATATTTACTGATACCCCATTACCCAATTTGGCATCATTCAACCAGTAAAAATGGAACCAATGGATTATAGATAAGCAAAGAAAGATGGGTCTTAAATTAGCACAAAAGAATTTTAAATCATGCACAAACATAACAGCTTGATATCTTGATTGACATAGTGATGCAGTCTTGCAATTTTTTTATTGTATTTTAAATATAATTAATTAATAAAACAAACATGACTTAGCTATTTAATCATTCCCTTATATGTGAATGCCTCCATCCATCAAATATTCATGATGGTCATGATTATTATTCAATACATTTGATATCATCATTGACAT